CAATTGCAGCTCTCACTATTGTATTATTTTATAATGTCCCATAATTTCACTGCAATTAATACATGAAAACTAACCATAATATTGTGAGGAAGTTAGTACTTCCTACACAAAGGAAAAACAAAGATCCAAAGAAATTCATGAACAACTGAAGGCCACAGCAAGTCAGAAGTATACTCTGTATATTCCAGGGTATAGCACATATACCTAATCCCAGGTCTCCTGTTTCATTTAGCAGACACATCCATTCTAGAACAAGAATGTTCACTAGTGACAGTGTTTCAGCCTGATGCAATGAGGAATGACTGAGATATTAAATCTCCTTCTCCAAAAATGCTTTGTGACCTAATAAAAGGTTCAGATGACCACAGCAACTGTTCTCCAAGCAACAGAGCTAAATTTTAATAATTTTTCAGTGCCACTGTTCATGACTGAAATGATTAAGTCTATTCCTTTCCTCAGCCCATAGGCTGAGTTTAAGCAAGAATGTTGCTGTACCAATGCAACCCAATAAATCAGCAGCTATTACAGCGTCTCTAGGGCTGGGTGTTTGGGGCTTTTTTTCCTAAGGTAAAAAGTAGCCAATGGAGGCATGGAAGAGACTGGGAAGTTACAAGGATGAAAAGTGTGATGGGAAGATCTCATAAAAATGCTGGTGCCAGTAGTAACTCAGGTGCACCCAGAGAAATCTGCAGTAAGATCACATAAAAGAGTTTGTCATGGAGTACTATGAACTTATAGCATGTTCACTGTACTGGGATGATGTGACAGCCCACAGCAAGTTTCATGGGGTACCAATAATTTTACTGATGCTAAGAAAAAGACAGAAAAAAACACTTTTTGCTTTTGTCTACTGTTGATCCAGTGCATTTATACCAGAATATACGATACATTTATAGCAGAAGGAAATAAAACTAGCAAGTTATTTTTAGGTACCCATTGATTTCAAACTTGAGCTTTCTAGTACAGTTTGATGAAATATTTGAACTACAGAAAAAATAACCTCTTCTTTTCACCTCCTCTAGCCTTCCCCCACCAAGAAAATACCCAATCAGTTTGGTTCAGCCTCTTGATGTGTGTACCAAAGCTACTACATATAAATCTCAGCTGAGGAGCCAGAGCTGTCAGAAGACTATATGTATCAGAGCTTTAGACTAGGTGCGTCCGAATAGCAAAGTAAACCTACCGCAAGTGACAATCCAGAACAGTCATGAGACACAACACAGACAAGGAGGACATAGAAGGAAGAAATAAAAATTAAAACATCCACATACAAACATCAGCAAAAACCATGGAGAAATGACCTTTTTTAGTACATTCTTATAATAATTCGGCTCCCCAGACAGAATCTTCTCCTCCCCCCAGTTCTTGGCAGAGTTGTGTACTCTACTTGAAAAAGTAACCACAGAGAGCTGTAGAAATGTGTTTGAAGACTGAAAGCCTTATTTTAAATCTTCTCTCACTTCACTGCAATCAAATTTGCTCGTAATCTGTATTATTTCACAGTTTCTCATTTAAAAATCAGACTAAAAGTTGTGTTCAGAAAAATGGTCATTCTGAAGTGTAAGTCTAAGAGAAGCAAAAATCATTTCACTTTCTATAATATCTAGCTATTGTGCTTGACTATTGATCCAACTGAATCTCTGTGTCAAAAGGATCTTCACTTATGCCAAATTGTATGACTCTATGAGGGTTTGACATGGACATGCAGGTCAGCATGGGCACATGTAAACCAGGAGTTCTCTTCAACAAACTAAACCAAGCTAAGCTGGAAATTACACTTCCAAAGGCTGATACTGCCAAACGCTGCTCCCTTTCAAGTTTTGTGTGCCTAGGGAACTAGGATCTTGCAAGATGCCAAGTGCCTATCAACTGCTATTATGTACTCTCAGCTGAAGGCAGCAGGTAATTAGCACTCGTAAGTTCAGACTTAATGATGACTGAACTAAGCTTATTGTTTTTTGACAACATTTAAGATTTTTGGTACTGTATGTTGCCCTTTATAAAGGCAATAGATTAACATCCTGATTTACAATTACTTTTTTATTTTTCACCCCTTTCTGTTCTATGACAGAACCTCGAAAGTGATTCATTCTTCTTTTGTGAAGTATTTTACATTTAACATTGCACTGAGCTCAGCTAGGTATACTAAAGCCTGCACTAATAATTCCAGATTAAACTGCCAGAATAAAAAATCACTCGTGCTGAGAAAAAAGGAAAAAAAAAAAGGACAGCTGAGTTTTGAAAAACCAGGAATTAAGTTGTTAGAAACTATTCAATGCCAGGACCTAAAATGTATACATTACCAACTAGTATGAAATTAAGGGAGGTAACTCAATCAACCTGCTTTAGAAATCCCAGACACATAAGAGGAATACTGGCTAGAGAGCTGGTGATGCAGTCACTTACAAATGGTCCAACATTTATATCTCTCAGCTGAGAATCTATCCTCATCAGGTTTACTGTGCAGACCAAACCACGTCAGTTAAAACACAAAATATTTGGGCAAAAGTATGTTTAAATTCCTATGCAGGATACTTTGAATGGAAACATCTTGAAATACCTAATGGTGTAACATTTCAAAGTTTGAGCTACTTTTTTTGATAAATAGGAGCCATGAATCAGCTTTTTATCAAAATTTCCCAGAAAAATGAAGTTATTAAATCCAATACTAATTACATAATAAAATTTTGCATTTTATATATTTATTTTCCAAGAATCCATGGTCATTTATCCAGGTCCTAACAAATACAATTAAAAACACTTAATAATATATTGTCAATACAACAGTGGTCTTAAATGATATGGAAGAAACTCCACATTAATATCAATAAACAAACTGCACATTATTTATCCTGTAAGAAAGTATTAGGTTTGTTATAATTAGTAACATTGGTAGAACACAGCAAAAAACATTGCAAGGGATTTTTCCACAGACATAATCAGAGTTCTTTCAAATTACCTTTGCTTCAGTGGAAAGAAGCTAGCTAAAAGTAGCCCTGGGTAACCAACAACTGATGAAGTGACTTACCATGTATGGCTTGTGGGGAAGTAACTCACAATTACTTAATAATACAATCTCTAAATTAATACAAGGAATTCATGAATCCTAAATCTGGGTGCTTAAAGTAAAAGGGTTCATTTCATATTCATCACACAAAGAAAACAAAATCAGTAAAATACAAAATCTTTTTCAAAGGAAAACACCAAATTTCTGCTCTGTTGTACTCCAAGTTCAACCTCACTTATCTTTCTGACCTTGAAACAGGTACATCTACATTACTGACTTTGCGTGCTGCTGAGGTTGTTTGCAGATATGAATTTGCCTTGTGTCTATACTTGAAACTTTGCACTTCAGTACACCAGCATGGTACATGAAAAGCATCTTCCCTCCTGGTGGAACCAAGGGTGAAGCTATGCACCAGGGCACCATCCAAAGTTTACTCTATTGATATGGTGTATAGCCTAGAAAAATTAACTGCAGCCTTGCGCACTGACGTTTCAGCAATGACTACTATCCACTGAGAAACAACAAGAACTGTCCTTTTGGAAATGGAAATAGCTGCAGCCAGCCAGAAAAATTACAAGATCTCCTCACCCACTTTTGATATTCTTCCCCTATCATGACTTACATGCCTAGAAAATTATGCAAGCCTGTAGCAGGACTCCTGAGGACTGGCCCCATCGGTGGCTGTTCCATCAGTGCACAGTGACATCCCACCACTTCTGCTGGTCTGCTCCATACAATCTTAGCTACTCTTCTCTAGGTTTTTCCTGGATCTTGCTCTTGATCTGACGCCACTACTCCTCAGGCTCCCAGATTTGGCTTCTATTACGAATCAACCTGTCTTTCCTCACACACTGGACTCCAGCTAATGGGAGGAACTACTCATTCCTTACTTTGCTTTTCTCATTGGCTGGATAAGCACTTCTGAATTACTCTGGCTAAATCTTATGAAAGGTCTTGGGAGCACAGACACATGCAATATCTTTACAGTTATTGTCAGCTACTGAAGAGGTTTCATATAGCAATTCCCTAAGTCTCCTCAGTACTTTTTGTTTGAAAAATAGAGCCCTTTGTCTTTGCTTAAAAAATCTGGCAATGCAATAAGAACACATGAATTCTTTGCATTTATTTCCCTATTCTTCTGCTTATTCTTGCTAGATTTACCTATGAATTTTTAACACCAGAATTGTAAGGAAGAAGGACAATAATAAAATCCTGATTAAAAAAAGTAATATTTCAGGAACATATTAATGAAGTCTGTTGCACTGAGGATTAGGTCCCGCAACTTTTGCTTTCTTTAATGAAGCAGATCTAAAGGACAAGTTTGTCTGCTCTCATGAAGATGATACTACTCAAAGGGCATTATGCTAATCTATTCCTCTAAGTTACTCCACTGACTTATAGCTACAAGTATATTCTGATATCTTTATGCTTCACTTCCTACACAAAATAAATTCTCTCAGCATCACTATGCTGAATGCTCTATGCAATTTCTTTTAGTTTTCCTTTGTTTGCATGTTTCTCATTTTCTCTTCTATGCTGTTGTTTGTTTCTCAGTTGACCTTATGCTTTTGTGTAAAAGGAGATTCAGAGTAAAGATGTATGTTTGTTTATCACCTGTGCTCAGAACTACTGCTAGAAAGATATAAATGCTATAGTTGTTCTTGGTCAAAATAGAAAATAGAAAATAAGACTGTTGAAAATTGTACACATTTGCTACATTTCTGTGACAGCCAAGATACTCTCAATAAACTTTCTCCTTCCAGATGAGTCATTACAAATCTGTTCATTTTATTAGCAGAGGAGAGAAACTGGTTGGCTGCTCTATCAGTGATGCCATACCCATATTCACACTTTAAGATGCTATTGAGAAGATGCTCCTCTCTTCACAGAGCAACTACCAAGGCAAAAAGCACAACATTTTTTTTTGTTAGACACATCAGGCAGAATTCTGCAAACATAACTCAAGAGTTGAAGAAAAGGAGAGGTACTTTACCTGGTCTTTCATGGTTTTCCCTAAATCTTTAACATCTTTCATGTTAATAGCATTCTTCCCTCCCTTCTCCTTCCCCTTCTTCTTGTTCTTCTTTTTGAACAAGCATTTCTTACAGAGACAAAAGCAGCAGGTAAGGATTAATAGGACTGCAACTATGGCTATGGCTATTAAGGCCCAAGGTGGCACTGGAAGAGAAAAAGAAACAAAAAAGAGAAGGTGGTAAAGGTGTTAGTAGGGTTAAATTTAGAAACAGGCACAGCTCTCTTACAGCTAAATCTTTTGCAAAGAAAATGCCTTGCAGAAATGCCTGAAATTCTTTCTAAAACACTATCATCTTTTGTATATTTTCCCAACTGAGCATTTGCACACACAATGCCAATATCTATCTATTTACGTGACTGGTGACACATATCAAATTAACTTGCAGCTATTCTGAATAAATCAACCATCTGAAAACAGTATACGATATGTTCGGCATACTTAGGCAGTAGTTTGCTTTCTTTCATCATCTCCACAACCCACCTGGCATTGTGGCTGAATTGGGCAGAACTGGCCAGGAATTTCCTGTTTTCAGAAAGGCATCAGATCCAACAGCCAGTTTTGACGAACTTCTCTGCCTGCTGCTGTGTAGTAGACTCTGCACAACACAGTGCAGGTCAAGGTCACCAGTAAACACTGACCAAGGACATGCTACTGGCCAATCCAAGGGCATGTGTGCTATTAGTCATCATACCCTAATATTAGCAGAGTTGCAGTACATAGCTAGTTTTTCACCCGTATTTTGCTATCAAGAAAATCAGTTGTTCAATTTATTCATTCTCTCCAAGAATCTGGACATAACTGAATTCTGAATAAACAATACAGAACACTTACTGTAATAAAATGGTCTTGTTAAAGATCAGAATATTGGAAAAAAGGAGTTAAGATGACACTCAAACAGTCCAGGAGGGAACTATGTTCATACAGCTCAGTTTTAATGACCACAGATCCCGACATTGAATCAAAACACTTGATGATACTTTAAATATTTTAAAGTGTCATTTTCTAAAATCTCTAAATGCACTCAGTCTACCAGGTCTTTAAGTTACTCTGAGTGCGTTACCAAGAGGTCTCTCATATGATACAGAACAAAACTGACAAGTGAATCAAATTTGACATGTTGACGTCAGTGAATCACAGAAGGGAATGGACAGTATAAATAGAGAAAATTAATTGCTTAAAGGAGCTAAGCAGAGTGTGAAGCACGGTCACAGGAAAAATTCGACTACAAATTATCAGTTCAGAAAGAGGACAAAGCACCTAAACTTTCCTTACTCTATGTTTAATGACTTTAATTTCTAACTTTCGTTCAAAAGTCCTTGGTGACAGATACAAAAATAATGTAGAAAAATGTTAAACAGTAATTTTTGTAATACATTTTGAGCCTCCAAATGTTCATTATATGCAGCTGCTATAAAAGAGAAGCTATACCATATGTAGAACAAATGAGAACTGATTACTAAACAAATGAATGTTAAAAGATAAAGTGAACAGATTAACAGCTGTTTATGTGATGCATTTTATGGAGTCAGCAGTAAGAATTCTGCAATAAAAGTTGTATTAGATCTGCACTTATCACAACTTAAAATCTGTATTTCATGCATCTTTCATTTTTGCTTCAGATCAGGTGCAACAGTAACACTTCATAGCACACCTGACTTCCACAAAATTTTGTCTTTTCACTCAGCATTTGCAAATGTAAAATCATTGCCTTTCACAGGCAGCGTGCCCTTTTCAAATTTAAACTTCAATGGTGCACTTAAACTATATTAAACACACAGCCTTCGAGATAGCATTTACAGAATGTTGTATTCTTTACCTAAGCTAATTCTTAAGAGTTATGTCAATAATGAAATGATTGATGTGCCTAAACCTGTCAGCTATTTGTTTTGCTGCTTTGCCAGGAATACTCAAAGCACAATGTAAAGCAACACAGGGAGCAATGAGAGCATGGGATGGGTTCTGCTGGCAGGGTGGCACTGTGGGAGGAAAGAGAGGTGGAGCACATCACATGCAGCTAAGATGGGAGAACCAAGGAACTGAAGAGACAGGGAATGTGCGTAGGATATATAAATATGCATGCTACAGATGAAAAAGCCTGTGTAGGTAGTGAAGTCAGGTGTCTATGTGCTGTAGCTGTTGTGCAAAGTGGTATTCTGGCTCTGTTGCCGTGGTTCTCTGGAGGATGAACAACGTAGGGTGCCTTGGGGAATATTTCAAACACTTGCAGATACCTCCCTTTTTTTTTTCTTCTTCTTCTTCTTTTTTTTTTTATAATGCATTGTCTGCTTTCATCTATTTGTAATTTAATTTCACCCAATAGCTCTTGTGATGCAATTAAATGATCGCCAAATTAATATCTGAGACACCAAGAATTATACAGAATCCCTCAAGGAAAATGTGCTCTATTTTTGTTACAGAAAGCATAAGTAATAAAGAATAAAAAATTGAGGAAACCCAGAATCTGGACATTTTCCAAAACATCTTCAAAATTCAAGTCTGAAAAAACAAAAAAGGAATGGATTTTTTTCCCCAATGAAACTGCACTGTCTCTGTCAAGAAGATGTCTCAGCAGAACATTGCTGCTGACAGAGATTGCCCAATCTAATATTGCTGGCAGTGGATACATGTGTTAGATTTAAGAGAAGTGAAACATATTGTTATCACTAGCTTTGATTTTAGACATGATGGTTGTTGCTTTTCAAAAACATTATCAAACTAAATGTTAATCATTATTACATAATTCAGGCAAGATTTTCCAAAATTATTATAGACTTGGAGAGTTTTCGTATTTGTTCCTCTCAGTTCATGACACTGCCAGGAGCCTGAATTCCAGAAAAAAAGATATTTCTAAAAAGCAGTTTTGGACATCCCAGAAGGAAGTGACTAAAGTCACTCAAACTTTGGAAGTCTCAAAACTACAGTCTTTAATATTTTGGCATACCAACTGTGAATAACATATACAAAAACTTTATGGACAGTATATGAACTTGTTATTGGTAAGTGGCTCCCTTCAGAGATTCATAATGCTTAAATCTAGTTAGACTTTCCCACAGATATGATGTTCACTTAATTTCATTTTCCTAGTCATCAACAATAAGAATCTACAGTTTGAAGGCTACCTCCATCTATATTCAATCAGTTTGATCGGGTTCAGTAGCATACTTTGAAACCTCAGGAGGACTTTGGACATGAGCCATTAAGCAAAAGGCCTCTGCAGCAGAAAAAAGGGTTTGGGTGACACAAAAAACACAGATCCTGACCAAGTGATAGGGAGGTATCAGAGAGCCAGAAGCTTCTTGTACAATTTGTCTTACCTAGTGCCAGCACAAGGGGGTGCTTTGAAACAAGCAATACTTAAGTAAGCTGTCAAGGAAAAGCTATAGCTTTAAGTATAATTAATATGTGCATAAGCTTTCTGGTATTTCAGTGCTCTTTTCTTTGTTCTGCTCCTGTGGTCTTAAAGACACTGTCATGAATCACTACGTGATTTGGTGAACCTCCAAGGCTCATACAGACAGATCTATAGGAGGAGATCTGCTGAGGTAGCATAGTTAGTAAGCAAAGTTTTTAATTAGTCTTATTGATCCAATCCAAACAGTGTACACTCAGAAATGCAGGAGTGGAGTAGAAGGAAATTGCAAGGAAAATGAAATGCATGGCTTTTCCCTAAGCCATATCAGGGCACCAGAGAGAATAAACTCTTCAGGATTGTGTTGATAATGGAGTCATTTTTGGTACAAACACTGCATCTTTCACTCACAATGAACATCAGTTAGAAATGGAAGCAGATAAAGGAATTGTAAGCTCTCTCTCTTTCTCTGCGCTGTTTCTTACCATTAAGGTCAGCCAAGGTTGAGTGCATACTGTAGGCCATTTGATGTGTCTGTATCCATTTCACAAACATGGCAGCTGTGGTACGCTGACATTACCATTTCAGTTTGGACTTAACAGTGTGTCAATGAGGCAGATCTCTAGACCTTCCCACTTATCATGCTTAGACTCACAGTGTGCAAGATCTGAAAGGGCATGGATGGAAGTAGTGCCAATACTTGCTCCTAGAGCTACCCTTATTGTGCTCCAAACTGCAAGGGCACTCAGCCCATGGGAGCATACGTAATCTGAACCATCACCCCTACCAAGTTTGCAGCGTGGCACTGGGCCCACAGGACAAACTGCTTCACACCACAGATTTAGTTTTATTTCATTGTACTAAATATAGCTTGTATCCCACCCTGTCATTAAATCTTCTACCAAATATGCTAGATGCAAAGGAAAATATGTACTACCGAATTACTACATTTAAGAGCTACAAATGGTGCCCTTTATATAAACATATCCTTACTTAGCCTTACACAAAATGCTTGGAGAGATACAGGTCTTGGGTCGAAAACTGACATTCCTGTCAGACGATCTAAAATTATCAAATGCCTCAGAGGACATTTGGCTCCCGAGGAAAGACAGTAAGAGGGAAGTCACAAAACGTGTAACAGCATCAAAGTGCTGTAGTCTGTAAAAGAGAATAAAATCCTTCATCCTAATAATTTTCCTCCCTTTTTGCGTGTAATGTCAGAGGAAGCCTCATTAGCTTAAAAAAGAATCCGAAGGAAGGTCAAGAAAGAACTGAAGAGAGAAAGCTGAATTAAAAAGCAAAGACCTCCATACCAAGGAAGCTATCTAATGACAACTCCCAATTAAGCAATTAACAGCCCCATTTAAACTCTGACAGCAAAGGACTATCAGATGATGGCAGATTCCATGTTACAGTACAAAGGAGGCTCATGCTTTGTTGCAATTGATAAATATTAATAACTTATGTTTCAGAGGGAGCGTGATACTTAACAGGAAGATGCAACTGTCACATAGCTGTATGTGAAGCGCTACATATTAAGCTAAATCTCTGGTCACCTAAGCATGAGAGTAGTGGCAGTTTTCATTCATTAAACTGCAGTTTTATTGTAGATTTTTTGCATTTACAGCTTCCATTCAGAAAGCAAAAATAATATATAGCCATATTTTTTCTCTATAGCAACTTCCAAGGGGCAACATTCTGGGAATCCATTCAACTTTCATTAGAAATGACTTTAAGAAAAAAGAACATGTACTAAGAGTAAGGACCCAGAGGATGCCACTATTCACAGCAGAA